AGAGGACTCCCGGTACATCTCCACCCTGACACCAAATTTGTAGCAGCAACTGATTAGCTCTGCCAAACTGGAGTTCTGGACAACCCAATTATAATTCTCTTTTCTTCTAATAGTCAGGGGCTTCTGGAAATTTTCTTTGCTATATACCAGAGCCTTCTCCACATTCTCTTTATCTCACCTTCTTACAAGCCATGCAGAATTCTCACCATGAATTTATGACCTGTAATATTTAAAATGTTCCCTTTATGGCTGTTGAACATGGGAAGGTGTGGCTAATCAAGATTCCTATTGGGGAAGTGCTAGAGTCCTTGTATATTAGTGAAGAAGGAGAACATGTACTGTTTAGGTTCCATCTGTGTTTCTCATCAGCTCTGTGCAGAAGAGGATTAAGAAAATACACATTTGAACAGAATGGCATTTATTGCCCAGATTAATTCAGAAAGTTCTCAGAAAAATAAGTTGGAGATACTTGCTCTCTAGGATGCTAAGTAAAGACTACTTAAATACACTATTAGAGATTACAGAACATGGGAGCTATCTGTAGCTTGGATTTTCATACAATTGATGTCTTTTGATGATTAGATTGAGATTATAGCTTACCTTTTTGAGGGGCCAGTATCACAGCAGCGGTGATGTGTCCTTTGCCTCAGCACACAATAAAAACTTGTTCTGTTATAGTTGGTGTTAATTTCATTCACTTGGATAAAGAGCTCTCTGACAGATTTTTCTGCTTAGAATTAATTATCTTTCCCTTTATTATTTAGTACCTTGGGGGCACTTACCAGCTGATGTGCCTAAACCATCACATTTCATTTGGAAGCTCCTGTGTCTTCTTTGATCCTCTTTACAAGTATCTTTCCTTGGAAAATGAAGGATCTCATTGTTTACCTGTCAGAAAAACTGGGATAAGCCCAGGCTCTGCCACTGACTGGGTGTTTAACACAACATTCTTCGTAGGCCAGAAACGTTAGCATCACTGGTGAGCTTGTTAGAAATTCAGAAACTCAGGCTATCTCCTGAAACAAAATCTGCATAATCAGATCTTCAGTTTATTGTTGTGCATATTAAAATTTGAGCAGTACCTTCTATTTTGCCATGACTTTTTCATCTGAAAAATACATGTAACTTATTCTGTATGATGTAAATATAGCCCTCAAAAATGTATGTCTGTGTTCATGCTCTTAATGTTATATTTTATTATACAGAAAAGCATACACTGATGCACTGGTGTTAGAGATCTTATTCCATCCTCTTTCCTCCAGGAGAGAATATTTCTGTGTTGAAAAGTATTTTATTAGGTGACTCTAGGCAATCATACAAGTCACAATCAGTCCTCTTCACTCTTTTCATCTTGAGTCAAATTAAGAATTATGTCTATGGCCACTTGATAAACATGTGCTTGTGTACACTTTTTTGTGTTTTTTTTTTCAGAGACTGTTGACATTCAGAGATGTGCTCATAGAATTCTCTATGGAGGAGTGGCAATGTCTGGACACTGCTCAGCAGAATTTGTATAGGAATGTGATGTTAGAGAACTACAGAAACCTGGTCTCCCTGGGTGAGGATAATTTCAATACATTTTTCCTAATAAACCACAAGGGTTTCATTTCTGTCCTTTGTAGAATGTTTTTTTGTAGTTTCTGCTTTCCATGAATACATTTTAGATTCCTTCTTTCAAGACAATCTTGGAGATTTGTTGTTGTAGAAAAGAAATTCTTGAAGATGTTCCATCTTTACCTGAACTTTCCCCTTTCCTGAGCTGATCTGTGTTTTTTATTATAGATAAGTGGTAATTCCAGAAGTTTGGTGGCTTAAAATATTGTTGCCCACACCTGAAAATCCTATTGCCCTCACTAATTTTTGATTCCGTAATTCTGGGTAGTGGAGGTAAAGACACAGAAATTTAAAATATGTCCTAAATATTCTGGAGGTTCTGTCATGAAACAGTATTTGGGGATTTTCTAGACTTCTATTATGTCTTCTTTTCCCTTCTAAAGATAGTACTAGGTTGATAATTGGAAAATCCCAGCAACAGTTACTTTTTAAAATAAAACAGGTATTGCTGTCTCTAAGCCAGAGCTGATCACCTGTCTGGAAGAAAGGAAAGAGCCTTGGAATGTGAAGAGACATGAGACAGTAGCAAAACACCCAGGTAGGTGAGAGTGAATGAAGCAGATGGCACAGCAGATGACAGATGAGAGTTCCAAGGTCAATGAGGAAGCCAGACCTTAAAATGTGATTTGGGAGGCCTGCCTTTCAATGGAAATAGTTTGTGAGAAGCCTGGGTTTCTTTCTCTTTCTCTCATACAGGGGCATCTTCTGTCTCATGCTCTTAAATGCTCTATGGATTCTACTTTCCCTTTAGTGATCCTCCTTCATGTTTACATTGAGAGGCAAAGTCCTTTTCATGGCATATGAGGGACTGCATGATCTGACTGCTTTTCTGTTGCCTTTAGGGACACATAAATATATATTTTTAGAAACCATGGTAAGTCATTTTTAAGTTCCCCTTTTGAATCATGGCTGAAATTTGTGAGAGCAGTGGTGATAATGGGATTTGTTTCAGAAATTCCAGGAACACCAGGGACAGGTGTTATGAGTTTTCTGCTTTAAAATTTTCTTAACCTATGAGGTTTCAAATGTGTTTCTACAGAAATTCATACTCGGTAATTTCATCAGAATTCTAAGCATATGCCCACACTAAAAAAAAAAAAAAAATCTGATAATATTTTACATCACTTTTCTTAGTATGAACCGAGTTGGTCATTTAAGGTCTACATGCCCTAATTCCTTAACTGTAAGATAGTTTAATTTATCTACTCTGTACATTTCTCAAGTATACTAGGCCGTTAGGGAGTTTACAACATTGCTGAGCACATATTGAATTTCCATTTGTGACCTTATTTTTAATAACTATTATTTCATAATTTTATCTTGTTTAATATGAGGCTTACCAGGACTGTGTCATTCATGTGCCTGTGTATATATGTATGTGCATATATATTGTGGATTTTTTACAAATTACTTTTGTATAACTACATATTTTTTGTGTGTAATGTAATGACTTGCTATGTGTATACACTGTGAAATAATTAGTATGATCACATTAACAGACATGTCTACTCTTAGTACCTTTTTTTGTAGTGAGAACACCTGTTTACTGCCTTAGCAAATTTTAAGCATACAAAACATTGTTAACAATAATCATGAAGCTATATATTAGATCCTTAAAACTTATTCATCTTTTAACTGAAAGTTTGTATCCTTCATTTTCCTCACCTCCAGTCCCTGGCAACTAACACTGGACTCTGATTTTATAAGTTCAACCTTTTCATATTTCTTGTATAAGTGAAAACAAGCAGTATTCCTCTTAATGTGCCTTTCTTATTTCATTTAGTACAATGTCCTTCAGGTTCATCCATGTTTTGAAATGGCAAGATTCCATTACGTTTTATGGCTGAATAATATTCTGTTGTCTATTTGGGCCATATTTACTGCATCCATTCAGCATTCACAGACATGTAGGGTTTTTTATATCTTTGAAATTGTGAATACTGCAGTGAACTTGGATTTCAAATGTTTCTTGGAAATATTTGCTTTGTTTCCTTTGATTATATACCCAAAAGTGGGATTGCTAGATTGCCTGATAGTTCTGTTTTTCAGATAACATTCATATTGGTATTTATAATGACTCTTACCAATTTAAAACTCTCCAGGAGTGTACGGAATATTTTTTATTCACATTCTTATCAATAGTTGTTATGTTTATTTGCATATATATGTAAAGATGTATGTGTTTGTGTGTATATGTATATATACACACACACATAGATATATGAGCTTTTATGTAAAAGCTCATATAAAGATGGATATATCTATACAACTCTATTCCATCCTAACAGATGTGAGGTGATAGCTCATCATGGTTTTGATTTGCAGTTGCCTGATGATTGATGTTTCATAACTTTTCATATATTTGTTGGCCATTTGTGTCTTCATTTTAAAATATGAATTCAGTCTTTTGCTTATTTTTCAATTGGGTTATTATTTTTATTGTTGTTTTGGCTTTGGATTTGCTTAGTTCCTTATTTTTCATATATTATTCTCTTACGTGTATAGTTTGCAAGTATTTTCTACCGTTTCATAAATTTCTTATTTTATTCTGTTTTCTGTGCAAAAGCTTTTTAGTTTGATGCAATTCAGCTTGTTTATATCTCCTTTTGCTGCTGTACTTTTGGTGTTGAGGCAAAAAAATATATTGCCAGGAGTATCAAGATTTCTTCCTATTTTTTAGGAGTTTTCAGGATTCATGTCTTATATTTAAGTCTTCAATTCAAGGTGATTTTTCGTATGGTGTAAGAAAAAGAATCTGATTTTAATATTTTGTTTGTGGGTATCCAGTTTTCCCAGATCTGAGTACTGAAGACACTATACACTTTTCACTGTGTGTTTTTGGTGCACTTGTTTAGGGTTGACGTTATATGCATGGGTTTATTTCCAGGCTCTCTACTCTGTTCTGTTAGTTTTTGTGTCCATTTTTCTCCATGCTTACCATCCCATTTTTCTTAGTGTAGTCTTTAAATATAGTTTGAAATCATAAAGTATGATGTCCCTTTGCTTTGTATTTTTTCCTCAAGATTACTCTGGCTATTCAAATCTATTGTATTTTCATATACATTTTAAGACTGTATTTTGTATTACTGTGCAAAATGCCACTGGAATTGTGATAGGGACTTCACTGAATCTATAGATGACTTTGGATAATATGGTACTTTACCAATATTTATTCTTCCAATCTATAAATGTGGGATGAGTTTACATTTCTTGTGTTTTCTTCAGTTTCTTTCATCAATACCTATATCTTTCAGTATAAAGATCTTTTACCTCCTTGGTTAAATTTGTGCCTTAGAAATTTATTACTTTAATGTTATTTTAAATGAGATTGTTTTCTGCTTTTTTAAATCAGGTAGTTTGATGTTGGTGTATGAAACCATAACTGATATTTGTATGTTAATTTTATATTTTACTAATATACGGAGTGCATTTATTAGCTTAGACAGATTTTGGCTTACTGTTTATAGTTTTCTGTATATAGCATCATGTCATCTACAAACAGCAACGTTTTTCTTGTCTTCAACTTGAATAACTTTTAAAACAATTTTACTTGAGAAATTTTGTCACATACTTTCAGTGCTATGTTAAAATAAAAGCATTGACAGTGGGTACAATATAGCCTTGCATTGGTGTCTGTGAATCTGAAGAAGTAAACACCTTTTCAAGTTTTATAATCTGGTTTCAAGAGGTAAAGATCTTCTCTTGTTGGTTCCCCCAGGGGATAGGATGCCCTCAGGGTTTGTAGTGAATAGGGGTTGTATCTGGGTCACAAGGCTGCTGGGTCTGCCTTCAGTTGTCTTGTTACCAGGGTCTTGGGTGATTGTGATCCCTGTCTTATTCCTGGGCAGACTGGATTTCCTTCAGAACTTGGGTGTGTAGGGTAGAAACAAGAAGAGATGTCTGCAGTTAAGTCTACATATGGTGGGTCTTATTATCAGGGCGTGGATGAGTGTGTGGCTCCCACTGAGCACCTGGGCAGGTTTTCCCAGGTCACTGTGTGGCTTGCTAAAGGGGCAGGACTGGCCATGAGCTGTGATAAAGGAAGCTAGAACTGAATCACTGAACTGTTTCAGGGACCACAGTCAAGTCCAACGACTGCAGGCCTTGGGTGTCTCCTCCAAGGTCTCTGGACAGACAGGACGACTCCCAGACTGTGACTGAGTTTCAAATGGTTATAGAGTCTGTTCAGTATTCTCAGTGGGATCGAGTTGGGTAGACCATTTCTTGCTGTGTAGCCAAAACCAGGAGTCCTCTAGTTTGCCACCTGAGTGAGGGCCTGCCTTCTACAATGGATGCTTCTCAATCTTGAGCTTTACCAGGATTTCACAACATCCCCCCTGGATCCCAAAGGTTTCTTAAAGGTACGCTTTTTGACGTGGAGCCTTGCTATGTTTCCAGGCTGATCTGGAACTTCTGGCCTGAAGCAACCTTCCTGTATCATTTAGCTGTGATTACAGGTGTGAGCCATGCTCACTCTCTCATAAAGACACTTTTATCAGGGATAACCTACACTTTTTTTGTGGCTATGGGATCATACACAAGCCAGGCACCATCTATTCTAACAGTGTACTGATGTAAGTTTCTTGTATGTTTTGTTTCTGTTTTCTGTTTCAGAGTTGTAATTTTATATTCAGACATTCAGAACAATATGCCAGAATTTACATGTGATGCCTGAAGTAAATCAGGTAATCAGTAGGTACCTCATATTTACCAGTCACTTGTATATTTTTTGCTGCAGGCAAAAAAGAATCATAGGATTTCTACCCACTTTCTTCAGTCTACATCTAAATGATAATATGATTTATTTCCAAATACTTATTTTATATATCAGTGACTCTCACTTTATTTTACAAAACATATATAGTTTTTTTCTATTTAGAAATGTAACACTATTATATGCTTCTAAAGGTTAAATTACAACAGTATTATTTTGTGTAAGAATAGCATCAATATATTAAAACATACTAAAAATTACCTTTCATGTCTTTTAAATGCTTACTCATTAAAATATTTTTATTAGAACCATTTATTTATGGTATAGTGCAGTTTCTATGAAATTTTACTGCCATACACTCCATATCAATGACTTAAAATACCTGCTTTCCATGAGTGCACATGGTTGATAGTTTTAGTTATTTGGACAAGTACTTTTTAAATGGTACATCAATGTTGCATTTCACATTTTATGGGTAAATATTTATCTTATTATATTTTGAAATTTCATTTTTTGTATAGAATTTTGACATCAGTTTACTGTGTTTTTTTGTTTTATGTGTTATAATTTTAGACAATGTGCAACTTTGAATGTACATTTTAAGTCAGTATGGGGTTTAATTAAAAGATGAATGAGCCATATGTCTATCATAGTTAAGTTATATGTATGTGATTTTACCTATAAATATGACTCTAATTTTGTTATGCCTTATCTACTATATTTGTTTTCTTGGTTGACTTATCCTGTCCAGGTGACTGGTAGTCATTTAAATTATTTTTCACTTATTTTCACCATGTGTTTAATGAATATATATTTTTTTGTACAAGAGAAACACTTTTGTGATTTGAAGGTAATTTTTGGAAAGATTTATTTCTGTATGGGTTTTTAGTTATCCTTTGAAAAAAGTTTAATTGTCATGAAAATACAAAACATAAAATTTACCATTTTAATTGTTTTTAAGTGTACACTTTATGGCCAGGTATGGTGGCTCATGACTGTAATCCTAGTACTTTGGGAGGCTGAGGCAGGAGCATTGCTTGAACTCAGGAGTTTGAGAACAGCCTGAGCAACATATGGAGACCCGGTATCTACAACAAATTAGAAAACTTAGCTGGGTATGGTGGCATGTGCTTCTAATTTCAGATACCTGGGAGGCTGAGGTGGGAGGATCACTTGAGCCTGGGATTGGAGATGGCAGTAAGCTGTGGTCACATCACTCATCACTGCACTCTATCCCGGGCAACAGATTGAGACCCAGTCTTAAAAAAGTGTAAATTTCAGTCATGATAAGTATATTGTTATGCAAAAGGCCTCTAGAACTTTTACATCTTGCAAAACTAAAACTCAATACACGTTAAGTAACAACTGCCCATTTTACCCTCTCTCCAGCCCTGGACAAACACTTTCTGTTTCTGAATTTGACTACTAAAGATATCTCATATAAGTGAAATCAGATAGTATGAATGACTTTGTTACTGGCTTATTTCAGTTGACAGAATATTTTCAAAGTTTATTTTGAAATGTGACAAGATATCCTTTAATAATATTCCATTGTGTGTATACGGCACTTTTAAAAATGTGTTTGTCCAGTGACATAAAGATTGTTTCTGCCTTTTGGTTTTTGTGAATAATGATACAACAAACATGGATGTTCAAATGTTTTCCAGGTCAGGTGTTGAATATTTTGGATATAGATTCATAAGTGGGATTGCTGGATTATATGATGCTTTCCTTTTTAATATTTTGAGGAGCATTCATAATATTTTTAGTTACATTATTTTTCACATGGGTTTTAATTTCTTCACATCCTCAACAAACTTGATATTTCTTTTTACATTTGTAATGGCCAGTCTGATGGTTGTGAGGTGATTTTGTTTTTGCATTTATCTACAAATTAGTAATTTTAAACATCATTTCAAATACTTTTTGCTATTTTTACATATTTTTTGGAGACATGTCAGTTCAGTCTTTTGTCTATTTTTAAATCAAGTTATTCAACTTTTGTTGATTTTTAAGAATTATTTATGCTAGATATTAACTCCCATCACATGTGGTTTGCAAATATTTTCACCCATTTCTTAAGTGACATTGTTACTCCACCAAATGTTTTCTTTGATGTGCAGAAATTTTGAAGTTTAATGTAATTCAATTTTTCTGTTCTGTGTTGCTCATGAATTTGATGTCATATC